TACATACATACATACATACATACATACATACATACATACATACATACATACATACATACATACATACATACATACATACATACATACATACATACATACATACTTTATTTAAGGTATCATAATAAATAAACGATACAAATAATACCCTAAAAAGGAAGTTTAAGAGGTTGAACCTATGTTAATAAACTTCCAAAAATAAAAAATATATGCTTATGAATAAAATCTAAGAATCTAAGATGGATGAAAACCTAAGAAACACGCATGTACGATTTAAGAGCTATTTTAAAACGTCTTAAATTTCCTACCACAACAACATTGGCGGGCAGGTCATTCCATTCACGAATAATTTTAACAAAGAAAGAGTATTTATAACAATTCCAGTTAGCCGATTTAACTTGCAGTTTGTAGTTGTGATTGGACCTGGTACGTTTTGAAGCGAACTCAAAAAAATCGGAAACACAAAGGCTATTCAGTCCGAATACGAGTTTATAGCATTCAATCAAAGAAAAATATAGCCTTCTATCAGTCAACTGCGACCACCGTAACATTTCGCAGCGATCTTCGTATGACATCTCTCCCCTTCGCAGACCTAAGGCCAATCGAGAAGCTCTTCTCTGAACTTTCTCTAAGAGAACAAGATTCTTAACTAGGTAAGGGCACCATACAGGGGAAGCGTACTCGAGGATTGGTCTCACAAGAGCATTGTACAGTGTGGAAAAGATTTCCTTGTTTATAGAACCGATTGTTCGCTTGATTAGACCAAGAACTTTATTGGCCTTATTGACAACCTCAACAACGTGTAAAGACCACGAGAGGTCATGCGAGATTGTGCTGTCGAAAACCTTTACAGAACTCACTGAACTTAGACATTCTCCACGTGGGACGAGGGAGTAATGTGGGACAGATTTATCACGATTTTGTGTGACTCGCATAATTTCACATTTCGTCGTATTGAAGTTTCAATGCCAGACCTCAGACCAATTTCTAAGGTGGAATAAGTCGGACTGAAGGATTCTTGTGTCTCTAGCTATGTCGGAGATCTCTGTGTAAACCTTGATATCATCTGCATACAGTTTAACCGTTGATGAAATACCTGACGAAATGTCATTCACGTATAAAATGAATAAGACTGGTCCGAGGATTGTTCCTTGGGGTACTCCAGATAAAACTGGAGACCAGGACGAGCAAGTACCACGCAGGAAGACGCGTTGCATCCGACCGGTTCTTTTCACCTACTTTGACTTAATTTGGTGATTTATTATAGGTACTAGGTTGCATTTCTCCATGTATATTATGCCATGGCACATAGTTTTCTCGAAGGACTCGTGTCCCTTTCCTTCCGTATCGAGATGCACTAGACTCAGGTATCGTTTCTTCAGCTTCTTGCTCCTGTTGACTATCCGCTGCCAGGTCTCTTGGGACGTTTAGTTCCAAAAAGTTACTATTAGTAGGTCCAACAATGCGCTTTACCCTGTAACTGACAGTGGCAGACTCTGAATTTGAGTTAGAGGCAGCTGGCTGAATGTTTTTCTTTCTGTCCTACACAATAAAAGTCATAATCTTACCACCAATATGTGCCTTCACCACTCTCACTTTCTCACATTTCTTTCTTTTAAATGCAAATATTGTGGTGATTAATGTAAAGTTCAAGTTCACCTACTCTAAGGGATGCTATGACAACTGGTTTCTGTGATAGAGATCTTCCAGTCAATGTCATTGTATTCTTGTTGCTTTCTTTGCGCACGCTTCAATCATGCTTCAATAATGTGCGAGAAGTTTCCCTTTCCTACAGAAGCCTGCCTGCCTTTAACAGAATTCGAAAATGTAGGAAATATTTGTTTTTGAGAGCCAGATTTCGCATGCTGTTAAAAAACAACCAAAGGCAATGCCGGCTTGTCGGAGAAAGAAGCGCATGTTTTTTCCCTTCTATATTTTATTTTCAAAACTTTTAAAATCCTCAAACTTTATTCTCCCATATTCAAAGTTCAGCCAGAAAACGTAAATATCCCACACTGATTGTTCGCATTAGGGAATTTAAGATCCAACGACGCGGACGGCAAAAAAACAATTGGACAACAACTTTGCACGTGCATCACGCTTTTTTGTACATTTCTTTCCTGTTTTCGCACGACTACGACGTGAAACTGAATGCCTAATTTTGCGTTTTATGGAGGACGTAAACAAGCAACGACGAAATTTTATTTCTCTTTCTGAGCTTGGCCATGGTCCCTTGATATTCAGCTTCAGGAGGGTTCGCGTACATTTGACAAAGTAAGGAATAGGGTAGGAATAATCGCTATAAAGACTGAAGGAACACAAAGTCCCTATTTTCTTGTTTCAGCGCCCACACATTCAATATCGAGATATATTCATGTTCAAACATATTCAAAGAGAGGGCCAAAACCTTTTTGTAAAAAAGTACGGAAATTACCCAGCCCTCTCCCGCCAAGAAAAAACGTACCTCCCCTTACAGAGTAAAGTTAGATGTAAACGCTATTGTTCTTCGTTACAGTTACGTCTTATGGCTAAGGCATGTTACAGTTTTTTTTTTATCTGAGTCTCAGCTGATGAACATTGAACATTGATTTTAATTACTGTCAGCTCTTAAAAGATTTCTATGATCTTAGACACTGTTGTAAAGAGGGGGATTTCACAGTATATAGGTCACATGTTACGTGTCACGTGTACATTATGCTATCCATGTAGTTAGCCTTCACGTGGAGCGGCCATGTTAGAGTTGTAATAAATGTGTTGAGAATGTAAAACAGTCGCCTACTTATGGGTGACTGTGAAAGCCGCTACATTATATGTTGATAATAGATTTAAAGGTATTTCTCATGTTCTTAAAACGTACAAAGTAAATCACTGGATTCGCACAGGACGGAATAAACGACATTGTCAAACTCCATGGAAGCAGAACGGAGTGTAGCCGAGGATATCTCTTTTGAACAATCGACATGCAAAAAGCTGGTGGCAGAGAGGCGATCCGCAAGCCGGCAACAATGCACATATCAAGTGCAACTCTTTTCTCGCGCTGCAATACTATCGACATCTGGAGCGTAACTGCATCACCCAACTGAGCGTTATGACTACGAATAGCGAGCAGTGCTCGAATGTAATTAACAGGCGGAACAACCAGAAACAAAATAAAATAAGGAAACGAATAAAATAAGGTTAGTTTAAAGTTAGTGTAAAGGCAGCCGCATGTAGACTGATGACAATACACAAGAAGTGAAATTTTACTGAAAAGGAATTTTCGCATTAGGAAGGTTCACGTCCTGTTACATTTGGAAAGTACTTCAGATAGGTAAAAACAACACCGCAAAAAATTCTCAATGATAGTATTTTTACCCTGCCTCCAGAATCCTCAAAGAACAAATACGGAAGTGAAGCGTTACTTGGCCACGCAACACGGTACCATGATGATGTTAGTCTCAAAAATACTATCTTAACAAAGATAATGGAATGACTAAGTCTGCAAACCTACCATACATTTTCTTTCAAACATAGACTACCCCCTTACATTTCAGAGCAAAAAAGTGGCACACCCAGGCCTTAATATACCTGAGTAAAGGTATCCAATGCCTTAAGGCCAAAGGTTGAACTTTTCATAAGACGAACGAGATTCGAATCTGGGTCGAACAAAATTAAGTTAAGATCGTCTATTGGACGTCGAAATTTCACCCGAACGAGGCTAAATATTCATCATTCATTTGTACAAAGTTTTGATTTATTGGTTTAGTTCATCGCATTTGAAGATCCACGTTTGTCCCGGAGACGAACTTTTCGAGCTTTTCCCAAACTTAACACCGGTACTGCAAGAAGTGCGTTTAAGGCAATGAATGTCTCTTGAATCGTATATGAAACCCTTCATAGACTTAATAACATGACAAAAGTATCTATTGTTTTGACTTACACGGATGAGCCGAGGTAAACATTGAGATTTAAGAGAAACATAATTAACTTGTTTCCCTGGGTGAAATATAGCACACAAAGAAAAACCTATGTGAACAAATTTTTGAAAGTAAACATCAGCAAGCGGTCACTGATTTCATACATTTTGCAATGGAACCTACTCAGACACTTTTGGCGGGAAACAGTCTATTTCTAGGCCTAGGTGTCATGTGACCTCCACGTAACCAATGAGAGCGCGCGATCTTGGGCAAAATATTCCAGCTCTTTGATTAAATGCCTTAATCCTGGACCAGTTAGAACTCTATTATACCCTTAGTAACTATAGTTACTTACAGTGAAATTGTCCATATATCTTTTCTTCTGAGAGGCTTTATTTATCAAATGCTCAAGTAAAAGACCCACCTGTTTTAGTGGCGCGAGTTATATACACCAGAGGTCTGTCCAAGGCATAGTGGCGATCAAAACTGATAATTATAACATTGACAAATGATAAACCAATGGTCAACACTTGTAAAGTGTAATACACATCAAACACCAGAAATTGATGTAGACATGACTGCCGGGTTCTTTGAAGAAAAAGTCGCCACACAATAAACATGGGCTGGACGATAACTCCCGTGAGGCAATCTGCAAAGGCCAGGTTACTCAGTAAAATGTTGCACGGCTTCTGTAAGGAAGGGGTCTTGATTACTGTGACAATGATGACCAGGTTGCTAAGAAATGCAAATATGGCAAGACATCCGTTGACAGTTACGAGTATCATATCATTTAGGTAGGCGGCTGTGTCGTTCCTGTGTATTCCAATCCAGGGTTTTATTCCGCAAATGGCAGCCATTTGTCTTCTGTGGATAAGACAGGCCGTTTTTTTTAAAAAGATCCATAAAAAGCAATTAATGCAAAAAATTAATTTTCAAAATGTATCTGTAGTGTGTTTATCTAAGAAATAGTAGCTCTCTTTATAACCCGATAAAAGAAAAAAAGCAGGCTTATTTCTTTCTTAGATTTCTCCTTTTCGTTCTTTAGAGCGGTGTGTGAAGCGAAAAAGAGCTTGATGACTGTTGACAATATTGGATCGCTCATTATTTTAACCGTGTCATGTTTTGAATTAATTGTTGAGTTGAGTGTCTCTTTCCTCAAAAGTGTCAAATGACAGTTGGCCTAGGACTTAGCTGCTAGCTACTAAACTAAACTTATCTGCTAGCTGCACGCCTAAAGTGTATGCAGACCTATGCAAATGTTATGTTCACACAGCACTCAGTGGACGAAATGTCGACCAAATAGTTACTCCGTTCACACGGAACGACCTTAACAGACGCCCAGATGTTCAGAATTTGAACACCAGAACCGAGGCTAATTTCGGAATAAAAAATTGGTAGCCGCTACTTAGGCAATGAGTTTGTAGAATTATTCAGCGTTTTATTAATGGAGTTTCGTTTTCAAAAGTTTTCAGGTTCTGTGATTAGTAAAAAGGTCGATACTTTTGCCATCCTATGAAAAGCATGAATGCTACTTGTTGTTAAAAATTGATCTCGATCGGCTCCTTAAGGTCCAACGAAAATGTGTGTGTGTTTTTTAATGAAACATATAGCTGTTTACCGCAAAATGGTAAGCTCAGAAATTAGAGATTTTTTGAGGGGCCTTTTTTATGCGTCACAGCCCATCGGGAAACTAACCTTTAAACTTTCAATTCCGGTTAGAAAACAGACAAATAAAAACACAGGGAAGTATCGTGCAACTACTGGAAGGGCCGCAAGCTAAATGTTGTAAGCGTAATATTACTGGATAGCTCAAGACATAACATTTCCCATCGCTTTGTTTGAAAAAGAAACTCAAAAGAAAGGTCTTTTCAATTCGATGACATATAGATAAGCGAGCTTAGCTAACATTCACTGGCTTTTTAAATTTCTTTTCGCAAATTTGATTTTCTTCGATAATCATGATATCCACCTACACTGTTATCTAGCAGTTTAAAAATATTATTAAATTAAATCTAACGTTCACTGCCAAAAGGCTTTGACCTCTACCTTCCACACTGCTCCTAACAACCGTATTTCTTTAGCACCTAGTAAAGCGAGAAAAGTAAAAAATTATCACTCACCACGGAGTATATAAATCAAATTTGAAGCCTTGACACGATCGATTTTGAATCAAAGTATATTGCTTAGTATGATCACCTGAAACACTGTATCATCAGTCTGTTTTCCGACACCTTTGATTAAGTACAAACCTCTTGAAAGTGCTTTATTGGTGGTTGATCGACGGGAATTCATCTAGTGGATAATGTCTGCTACGCTTTATTGTACAATCAGTTATTTTTTTGAATTGTTGGAAGGCATACTCTTGTCCTCTAGCATGGCGGCCAAAACTGTGTTTTGTTTATATCTTGTTAAACGTTTGTTAGTTACGCTAAGATGTGCTGTAAACGTCGCCACATCATTTTTTCAACATTTTCCTTGAAGATTAAGAAAGTTCAGAAAGAGGTAATTCATAATTTTAAAAATCACATTTTGGTCACGTTACCAGCTACGAACTTACTCATTTTAAGAAAATGGTGCGGGTTTGAAAAACCAAATCACTATTACTTTGTTTAAGATATGACCCACTAATCGTTTTTCGAAGGCAAAACCATATAATTTTCATTTTCATGAAAACAATGTCACATGACCTCTTAGCGCAAATGGTCTATTTTTAATCATACGGCCACGCTTGTAAATAGCCAACTGGTTGCCTCCTGCCAAATATTAGTTTCAGAATTGTTTGAGTGGAGTGCCCGTAAACTAGCTGGATAAACTAAGAGCACCTTCCTCTATAAACCTTAACTTAAATTTGATTTTTGATTTCAATAATTTAATTTCTACATCACTGAACCACACCTCTTCCCACCCTACCCTTTTAAGAGATCTTAACAAGCTAATTGCCAACGAAATATTTAGCCTTTTTAAAACATTAAATTGTTTTATAAAGGTTGGTTGCCATTCACGAAACTCTTTGTCTGCTTCCATTTCACAGTTTATTTCTTAATGTAAGTTAATCTTTCCGTCTAAAAGGGATTCTACCCGAATGGTAAATTAGATGGAGGACGGCTAAAAATTTCTAGATGACCGTTTCATGCATGGACAATTTTCGAAGCTTATCTGATAAATTCCCGACGATTTTCTTAAGTTTAATTTTTCACTTTTAACTCCTCAGGTTAGCCTATATTTTTCGAAGAAAAAAAGGAAGCTTAAAATGTTCGGATTCAAAAATGTGATGTCGAGAGGAATAAGTAAAATTTTCTCTTTAGTAATACGTTTAACTGCATCTAAACTTTTCGGGAAAACTAATACTGAAGCCCTCGTCGAAAAGACGCAAGTTATGACCAAACAGATACAAATTTTATAGCGCCGCTTAGAATGCATTTCTGCAGATCTAAAATGACTCTGGAAATGCAATGTATTTAGGAGGAAACCGTCGTTGGGTGTCCCTGCATCATGGCGTCGAGTACAAAGAACCACAGGTAGCCAAGACGTACTGTATGTCACAACCGGCAAGAGAGCATTATCAGGATTATAGATCACAAAAGAGAGCTGGAGCGGGACAGTCGACTATATTCGACCAAAAATTAAAAGAGTCATGAAATATGAAATAGTTTTTATTTTGTGTACACTAGCTCTGATTTCCATTTAAACCGACCAGAAATAGCAAGAAAACGTTTAGCTAAGGGTGTGTAAGCCTTGTTTTGTATGATTTTTAAAGCTACAGTTACTCCTATCCATTGACATTATACACTCAAGCTTCTGCGCATGCTCTACCGACACTTGCGATCAGAGCGTCGAACTCGTGGGGGGGATTACTTGGGTTAACTTTTGCTGGGTATGTGCCGCTGGCCTCTCATAACCCTTACCCCATTATAGTCTATTCTGTGGTCAAATAGTAGCCCCATCGCAATTTTCGCGATTCCAACGTCGCAACTTTCTGTTTTTGCATCTACCTTATAGAGCCTTTTAACTAGGTTATCGCGAAAGTAATTGACACATTGGTTAAACTAAACCAAGTAAAAAATCTTCCCATTATTAAATCCCTATCAACCTGGATTTTCTGATTCCCCTCTCTTATGAAAATGCAACTGCATTATAGTCAATCCAGCCGTGAAAATGCGATACAATCCAGCGACAATTCCCGATTACCCGATTACTAGGAAGTACCCCTACCCCTCGGGGTGTCGAATTCACTGGGAAATAGAGGAAATTCCTGTTGAAAATCACTTCGCAAAGTAATCGTTTATTGTTTATTTATTGTTTATTGTTTTGTTTGCCAAAAAATTATACAAATCAAATAAAATCTAATTACCTTAACTCTCATGGCGAGGAAGCCCAAGAGAAGCCACCGGGCTTATAAGGAATGGGCTCCCTCAGTTAGATANTGGAGACCAATTCTCCTTCATCTTTAAGAGTTTCCAAGTTCAATTCGTCCGCTGCAGCATCAGACGATTGATGTTTCTTTGGTTTCCCCATGAAAATAATTCCTCTGTAAATGTTTAAACTAAGACAAAATGCTAATAGAAATGTTTAAGCTAAGACAAAAATCCAGTAGAAGAAATGCAAAGAGAAAAACATTACAAATTGACGGAGCTGAAAAATACACGTCCGCTCGCCATCCACCCACGAAAGCTAACCGAGGACTAAAATGAATTTTTTAGTGTGTGTGTTTTTTTCTGATTCGTTAAGTAACAAATTCAGTCCCGCGAAAGGTGAACCGAGGAGGAAAAGGAAAACGATAGGGGAGGAGGCGAAGTGAGAAGGCAGTGACAAAAACCTCCTGCATTCAACTCCTTGAGATTTTTGAAACGCGCCTTCCAGTCTTGTGAAGGGAGGAGTTTGGCTTACGCGATTGAAAAATATCATCTATATGGTCTCCGAAAAATTTTATCGAAACACCTTAATGTTTTAAGCTGAATAAAATAAGGTTTAAATGACCAGTAAACGAAGTAAGTGCTACTTATTCCGTAATCCTTTCGGCTAGGTCAAAACTCTTGTATAAAAGCGATTGCCTACTGATGGTTGACTCCAGAAGGCCGAGCCACTACATGTTGATAATAGATTTAAAGGCATTTCTCATGTTCTTATTACGTGCAAAGTAAATGAGTGGATTCGCAGCGGACGGAATAAACGTCATTGTCAAACTCCAAGGGAAAAGAATGGAGTGTAGTTGAGGATATCGCTTTTGAACAGTCGACATGGAAAGACCTGGTGACAGAGAGGTGAACAACAAGCCGGCAACAATGCACATGTCAAGTGCAACTCTCCTCTCGCGCTGCAATACTATTGACATCTGGAGCGTAACTGCATCACCCAACTGAACGTTATGATGACGAATAGCTAGCAGGGCTCTAACATAATTGACAGGAGGGACAATCATAAAAAGCACAGCAAAAGAAGTCACCAAAATGAAGCTTGGTAGAGAAGGCAAAGTGAACTGGAGGATTGTTAACAACAGCCAGATTATGTTTGCGAAGATGGTAACTTTAACTGCTCCTGCAAAACAGGATATCGAATAAAATAAGGTTAGTTTAAAGGCAGCCGCATGTAGACTGATGACAATACACAAGAAGTGAAATTTTACTAAAAAGGAATTTTTCGTTCACGTCCTCGGTGTTACTTCGCATTAGGAAGGTTCACGTCGTAGTCGGTCAATCAATGTTCAAGAAATGTACCAGCATGCACGTGCCGAGCCGTTCTTTTGCTATTAAACCAACTGTTTTGTGACGATCTCGATGCCGTCTTCGAGGTGCTTACAGACCTAATATGGAAAGGGTATATTAAGGACTGGGTCAATTAAGGCACGTAAGCTACACGA